TTTAAGAATTGCTTACTTGTTAATTAGACTTTCACCTAAAACTGTCAGAATCCTCTTCAATAGAGAGTTTAATCCAGGTGGTTTGAAATCAGTTTTGTCAAAGAACTGGACGAAACTGGATAAGTTGAAAAAGAAGCATGTCATAACATTTGCGCAATGGAGTGTATTGTTTCCTTCAGGTGAATATATTTACTTTTATGGTGCACTCGTTGATATTCACATTACACGTTCTAAAAATTTGCCACATGAGAACAAAAATCGTATTACGTTTTGTATATTTCAATACGGGTAATAAATTCGACAAATATATAGATACCAAGGACAAATAACATTGAAAAGAAATCATCTGTATGAAAATTTCGACATGTCTTGCTATCAAAATGCTAAGTTCGAGTTTCATTAATGTACTTGCCGACAACCAAACTAACACAAAAAACAGTAAAACCTTCTTCACACTAAATAAAAAATTAGAAGTTGTATTCAAAAATGAAAATTCATACAAGAAGCAAACAACATCCTTTTTTTCATAAATGTATAAAACTTATCAAATCACATCACCCAATATTTGAATTGTACTTACTTTTATCGTTCTTCTCGATGTCTGAACAGAAGCGATGACAATCTTTTTACTGATAGGTAACGGAAAATAATTCTGTAAAAAGCGATTTGTCCTGTTTTAGTATTTGAAATTTAATTGTATCCACTGATATAATTAATCACATATCATTTCTAAATTTCCGACATAAATTTTACTCGAAGAATTTTAATATGAGGAAAACGGAACAACAATTAAATAAGAGAAACTAAAGGGCAACTCCGAGTCAAAAACTACAACCTCAAAACAAACAGGTAAACAACAACCACTAAAACAATAAACAAAACGATAGTCAAATTCAGGCGACTCAGAAGGGAAAATAGGTCATAAGCAGGAAAATTTACGGTACAAATGCTTCATTTTAACATATACGTCATACCTATATCCTTTATAATCCAATATCTTCAAAAATAATGTTTAACTTATAAGTATCTATATAAAGAAAACTGATCAAAGATATCAAGCTTATAGTTTTGTACACCTGACGCTCGAAGGTAATTTAAGTTTTGAGGTAAGTGTGTGTGAAAACGCAACTCACAACATATGCTTGCGAAAGTCCATGCATTATAAATTTCTTTTTCAGGTTCCGATCCTAAATCAAATGACTTCGACCTAACATTGATGATTTGTCTTCTCCGAAACTTGACAAAAGTAACTATTCAGGATCAGCTCCCACAACCATCAGATATGAGTGAAGGAGCGGCGGTTTCTAGAATTAAGTTTCACAGGAATCAAATTGCGCATTCTGACTCGGGTGTTATGTCTGACGCGGACTTCAATACCACATTTGCTGCAGTTTCTAAGGTACGATATCACACCCCTAATTAAAAAACAAATACATAAAAACACAGGAATCTTTATTAAGGTTTATTACAAAACTTGATATTATATATCATAATAACTTGACTAGTAGATAGATCTTCCAAAACCGGTCACTTGATCCTCGATGTCTAATTATATTATCGGGATACCATTTAAATGTCAATTTTCAAAGTATTTTAAAAACATTTCATAGTAAAAAAAAATTATGTCTTTCATTTTTGCTTATATACTTTGTCTATAGAGTGTCTATATGTCATTTTGTTTTTCTTTGTTGAAACAGTTATTTGTTTTTATAGTGATTAAGATTATAACACAATGTTGACTTCTTCCCCAATTTTTGACATGTTTACCTATTATGTCTGTTTGTTTTGCTCACACATTGCTGTCAATATAAAAGAGTTCTATGTGACTGTCATACAAGTGAGAGGCTAGCTATAAAACCAGGTTTAATCCACTATTTTCTACATAAAGAAATGCCTGTACCAAGTCAGGAATATGACAGTTGTTTTCCACTCGTTTAATGTGTTTGAGCTTTTGATTTTGCAATTTGATAAGGGACTTTCCGTTTTAAATTTTCCTTGGAGTTCGGTATATTTGTTATTTTACATTTTGTGTACGCCAGGCGCGCAATTCGTTTAGAGGTAACTTAATGGTTATACTTCCGACAAGTACGAATATTACATGCACACATTGTATACTGTATGTCATATACGTGGAAGGGCTTGTCAATGTTCAGAATACTCGCAACAAAGCATACTACATGTTTTGGAACGCAGACTAGTAATACGAAAACCACATACATAAGACGCTGAAGTCATCAAAACCGAAAGAAAAAAAACTAGAACTACTGTTTGTCTTGGGTCACGCTGACCAACATTTTGTTAGAGTTACGTAATTTATTAAGAATATATTAACAATAAAAATGCACCATCGAAACAGTTACCGTTCGGAAAAACACAAGTGTCGATGTTACTCTCGGTAAGTGAAAAATCCATCAACAGAGGACGTTAACGTACCCAGCAGAAAATATAAAACAAAAGCTATATTACCAATGTCAATTGTATTCTTACTTGTTATAAAAAAAGCTTATTCATATGAAGCCGACTTCGAACAGGAGCACACGAGGAAAACGAAAAGAAACTAGCATTATCCTTTAACTTCGCAATTCGTTTTTAAATGACTTTCTCACTCCAAATAATTCAATGTTAAGTGACTATATTGATCCCAGTTATCTCATCGAGCTTAAAGTACTGTGGATTTATTATTATTCGTTGGGTACCAATTTCATGGGTATATGAAACACGTATTTAAATGTTCAAAGAAGCATAAATTTCGAATAGGCTTGTACAAAACTTTGAAAAAAACAGGAAATAAAGTATCTACGGGTAACAATTGTTTTTCAATCCACGAAAACTGGTCCCAACAAAAAGAAAATGAATCCTCAGTAAAGTATGCAACAGACATATTTAAGGTTGAATAAAAAAACTTAACGACGAAAGACTTAATTTCAACTTTCCAATTGTGAAGTTCTATTTCTATGTGACTACATTCCTGCTGCGCCTGCATATAGAGTATATATCTCCAAGTTAATACAATATCCTAGAGCTTACGTTTCCTATCGTGAGTTCTCGGATAGATGGTTGCTGCTTACAATGTATTTATTAAACCAAGAGTACCAAGCGGTAAAGTTGAAGTCATCTCTCTGAAAATTTCATGAAGGCCATCACAATTTTGATGGCCGTTATATGGATTACCTGTTTCGCAGATGACGGCTCATGTGTTCGAATTTTCGTAACCAACATACCGTCCTTTTTCCTCGAATGTTAAATTACCTAATGATACTTATCACCTAATGTGTATTTGCACGAGCAACACGACGGATGCCGCAATTTGAGCAGGATCTATTCACCCTTCCGGGGAACTTGAGATCACCCCCGGTTTTGGTGATGTTTTGATGCTCAGTCCCTAGTTTTTTTTCTGTGTCGATTTTTGTAGACCGTTTTTATTTCGTCGTTTCCGTTTTTTTGCCATGGCCTTTTCAAATGGTTATTGACTTATGAGTTTGAATATCCCTTTGGTATCTTCCGCTTCTCTATCTCTCATGCTACTTGCATAAAACACTTGTGTGAGATCTAATGACTTATCCTATTGAATTTCGGGACTGAAAAGACTTGGTTAACATCTAAATCTTTATAAGTAATCTATACCGAAAAACATAACTTGTATAATATACGCTTTAGGTCATATATGGATACTAATTAGATAAGTAATTAGTAAATAAAAGTCAAATATTTTTTTTCAGGCTATAGAAATTCTCTGTCCAACTATGAAATCAGATTGCACCACTTTGCAAAATGCTGACCTAGATTATTCATCCCATGAAATCTATGTAGAGTTTGTCAAAAAAGAAAAGCAAATGGAAGAACTTACAGCTCAAGTTGAAACCATGAATTTGGAACGACAGAATATACAGTGTAAGTTTTCAAGCAACAGCTAAAAATAATTGAAAAAAACAACAATCAATGTATGTGACTACGGTTCTGTTCAAGAAGGATAGAACTCATTTTATTTAGATCTATCGTGATATATACATAATTATATACCATAACAAAGTTAAATGTCTAAATGTTTCTTATCTGCATGATAGTATATTTTGCCGAGGATTGTCTTTATAGCATCTATTGATTAACCTTTTAGTCGTCTGAATTCTACAAACATCAGTAAAAAGCGTTTAGTGGACACTCCTGATTGTTTGTAAGATTAAATCACATTGTTAAAGTCTGTCGAATAATTGCAAAGACGTGGAAAAGGCGATATACATTTGAAATCTATTATAGTTTTTGAAATAGCACATATCTTTTTATTTTAAACTAATAGTTGTTTTCGTTATTTTTTTAATATATCGCTACTCATATATTAAGAAATTATTACGAAACGACCGTAGATGGATTTGGTTATTCTTTTTAGATCCCTTTTGACCATTAAGTTCACCAAGTATTCAAGCATTTATACATCCTTGGCTTTCATTTCTTTTATAATTTGACCGTTCCTGATGAAAGCAGATTCCTAAAAAAAACTTTTGACCAAATAAATAAAAAGTTATTTTCATTTTACATGTCCTTAATTTATATTGTACTCTTTCATTTTGTTCGTTAATTTTCTATTCTGATTTGGACCTCAGTAGTAAAATTATAGTAATAGTATGTTTGACTAATGTTTAACCTGTCGTATATTTTACGTGGATGCGTTGTTGAACATTTTCAATGCTTGTAATCTAACCATTGTTCAATATACATTGATGACAATAAATTTTCTTTGTAGATTAAAACAAATGAGGATTTGGTGATTCATAAATCCCAGCGAAATTGGGAATCATAGAAAAACACGTCAACAATTATAGTTTTCATTTTTTCAACTATTATTTTGAATTTTAAAAGTGAATTAATTATTGAGATCAACCATTAATTGTTAAATTAAATATCTAATACTATTATGTAATTCTGACATGAATATTGCAGCATTTCAAACCGAAGAAATTTCTGAATGGAAACAGAAATTTGAGAAGTTTCATGTGACTGAAGCTGCTACCAGATTAATTAAAGTGGTCAAAGACAATCAATGCACTATTATTACAGGTATACCTGGATCTGGCAAATCAGCACTTGCTTATCATGTAGCGATACACATGCAAGAAACGGAAGGCTACACAGTTCTACCCATTTGGTTACCATCAGAATTGATAAAATTGACGAAACTAATGCTAAACAACTTTTTGTTTTTGATGATGTATTCGGTAAATATTCTTTGGATGAATTCAACCTTAACTGCTGGGAATCTGAAACAAGACGAATTAAGATGTTATTGAAAAATAAAGTCATGAAAGTAATGGTGACATGCAGATCCTATTTATATGACAATGTTAGCGAAAGCTTATCTTCTTTATCATTTGCGCATTTTAACTTGCTATCAGACGAAATAAATAAAGTTATCTTTAGTCGAAAGGAAAGAAATCAGCAAGTTGTATCTTACTGATGATATTGTGAGTCATCTGAATGATGAAACTATCATGATGTACAACTTTTTCCCTTTATTGTGTGTTATGTTTAAAGGAAAGAAGATGGGGGATATTGATTTCTTTCAAAACCTTAATCAGTTTTTAAAGATCGAAATTGGAAACTTTAAAAGGAAAAAGGACGCAACGTTCATGGCTCTTGCACTCTTGGTTTTATCTAACAACTCGATCGAAAACGAATGTCTTCAGATTGGAAAAGATAAATACGATATCATGTTAAAAGATTTATTTGATGAAATTGATAACAGGAACTCTCCATCTAAAACTTCAATATTGTCGAATCTTCGAAATCTCAAAAACATGTATCTAACAGAAACAGAGTCTACATTTTGTACAAAACACGATAAAATTTTTGATATTATTTCTCACACTGTAGGAAACTTTATAATTGGCTGTATTTTAAGGCATGGAGAATCGTCGTTCATTAGAAGTAGGTGTCAATTAACCTCTCTCAATGAACAACATGATGTCTGTACCATAATGATTACAGATGAATTCGAAACCATGTATTTCAAACGTATATTGGAAGATACTGAAAACGGACATAACTGGGATGTTTTTGCTAGCATTCAAATGAAATTTGAAAAATATAGAAATTTGTTAATTCAATACTTAGAGAAGTCCCGTAAGAAATTGCCCTCGTCAAATACTGATTACACAACTCCATTACATGTCACTGCAGCCAAAGGTTATTATGACATTTCAAAATATTTACTCGAAAAAAAAAGAAAACATATAAGTTCATTGGATGATAAAAATAGGTCTCCTTTACACAATGCCTCCTTGAATGGTCATCATGAAATTGCCCACCTACTTCTCAGTAATGGTGCTAAAATTAATCAGAGTGACAATGAAAAATGTACTCCTCTGCTCGAAAGTTGTAATAACGGATATGTAAAAGTAGTTGAAATATTGTTAAAAAGGCAAGCAAATGTAAATACATATGATAAATATGGTTGGTCTCCACTACACTTAGCAGCGTCTGATGGAAACACAGAGCTTATTTTACTTTTGATGGAACATGAGGCAGATGTAAACTTTCAACTAAATAATGGAATGACTCCTATTTATATAGCTTCTCAGCATGATCATTTAGAAGCAGTAAAAATGCTGTTAAGTAATAAAGCTGACATAAACAAACCCGAAGAAACTGGATGGAGTCCATTACATGTTGCTTCTTATGTCAACCATAATGAAATAGCTAAGTTATTACTCGAAAATGGTGCAGAAGTAAACAGTGCTGATGAAGATGGTCGAACTTCACTATACAATGCTGCTAAACACGGTAATATAGATCTCATTCAAATTTTGATGGAACATGGTGCAGATTTAAATTTTCAAATGAATAATGGAATGACACCGATTTATATAGCTTGTGGGAATAATCATTTAAAAGCAGTTAAAATGCTGTTAAGTAATAAAGCTGACATAAACAAATGTGCGAAAACCGGATGGAGTCCATTACATGCAGCTTCTTATAATAACCATAAGGAAGTAGTGGCATATCTATGTGAAAACAGTGCTGCAGTAGTAAACCTTTCAAATAAAGAAGGTGAATCGCCATTACATCTTGCTTGTGAAGAAGGTCATGAAGACATAATAACATTATTATTAAAACATGGTGTTTCTATTGATCATAGCAATGCAAATGGAACTACCCCGTTTCATTTAGCTTGTTCAGATGGTAATACAAATATTGCAGAACTATTAATTAAAGCGGGTGCAGTAGTTACTAAGGTTAACGAGACTGGAAACTCGCAATTACTTTTAGCTTGTAACGATAGGGATAATAAAATAGCTAAGTTATTAATCGAAAATGGTGCAGAAGTTAACCGTCCAAATGAACATGGTCGAACCGCACTATACAGTGCCGCTGAAAACGAAATACAGATCTAATTAAAATGTTGGTGGGACATGATGCAGACGTAAACTTTCAAATGAATAATGGAATGACACCTTTCTATATAGCTTGTGAGTATAACCATTTAGAAGCAGTACGAATGCTGTTATTTTATAATGCTGACGTAAACAAATGTGAGAAAACTGGATGGAGTCCATTACATGTTGCTTCTCATTTCAACCATAAGGAAGTAGTAGCATATATATGTGATCACAGTGCTGCAGTAGTAAACCTTTCGAATAAAAAAGGTGAATCGCCATTACACATTGCGTGTAGTGTAGGTCATAAAGACATAGTAACACTATTATTGAAACATGGTGTTTCTATTGATCATTGCAATGAAAATGGATTTATCCCGTTTCATTTAGCTTGTTACTATGGTAATAAAAACATTGCAGAAATATTAATTAAAGCGGGCGCAGTAGTTAATGGAGTTAACGAAACAGGAAACATACCATTACTTTTAGCCTGTTACCATAGGCATACTGAAATAGCTAAGTTATTAATCGAAAATGGTGCAGAAGTTAACCGTCCAAATGAGCATGGTCGAACCGTACTTTACAGTGCCGCTGAAAACGGAAATACAGATCTAATTAAAATTTTGATAGAACATAATGCAGACGTAAACGTCCAAGCGAATAATGGTATGACACCAATTTATATAGCTTGTAGGGAAAACCATTTAGAAGAAATAACAATTTTGTTAAGTTATAAAGCTGACATAAATAGATGTGATGAAATTGGATGGAGTCCTTTGCATGCAGCTTCTTATTACAACCATAAAGAAGTAGTGGCATATCTATGTGATCACAGTGCTGCTGTAGTAAACCTTTCAAATAAAGAAGGCGAATCGCCATTACATCTTGCTTGTCATGAAGGTAATGAAGACATAGTAAAACTATTATTAAAACATGGTGTTTCTATTGATCATTGCAATGAAAATGGCTATACCCCGTTTCATTTAGTTTATTCCGATGGTAGTAAAAATATTGTAGAAATATTAATTAAAGCTGGTGCAGTAGTTAATAAAGTTAACGAAACTGGAAACTCGCCATTACTTTTAGCTTGTTACGATAGGCATAATAAAATAGCTAAATTATTACTCGATAATGGTGCAGAAGTAAATAGCCGTGGTGAAAATGGTCGAACACCTTTATATATGGCTGCTGAAGATGATAATACATATCTGATTAAAACTTTAATCGAACATAATGCAGACATAAACTTGAATACGAATATTGGAATAACTCCAATTAATGCAGCTTGTCAGTTAGACAATTTAGAATCAGTAAAGATGTTGATAAGTTATAATGCAGACGTAAACAAATGTGATGTAAATGGATATAGTCCATTACATATAGCTTCTCATTGTAACCAGAAGGAAATAGTTTCATATCTGTGTGAAGCAGGTTCCGCAGATGTAAATCTTTATAATAAGAAAGGAAAATCGCCGTTACATCTGGCTTGTAAAAAAGGGAACGACGATATAGTAAAACTATTATTTACACATGGTACTTCCATTAATCATTGCGATAAAAATGGCTTAACTCCGTTACTTTCAGCTTGTTCTTATGGTAATAAAACTATAGCAGAACTTTTAATCAAAAAGGGTATAGAAATAAGCCACTCTGATAGGACTGGAAGAACGCCACTATATACAGCTTGTCTTAGCGGTAATACAGATTTGGTCGAATTATTACTCAACCATGGAGCAGAAGTAAATAAGGCAGCTCAAGAGGAAACTAAAGAAGGCTGGGCACCTTTGCATGTTTCATCGGCTTCCGGCAATACTTGTATTACTAATTTACTGCTTCTGAATAACGCAGCCGTCAACAAAGAAGATAACAATGAACATACTCCTGTATACTACGCTACGAGATATAAATACAGTGAAATAGTAGAGATTCTTATTAGTCATGGAGCTATTTTAATCAACAGTGATGATAAAAGTTCGCCTTTGGTCACAAGATTAAAAAGAAAGAAACGTTGTGTAATTCAATGAGCATCTTGGCATAACACAAAATGAAAGGAATCTTGGTGTAGTTATACCTTTTGCTTGTTTAAAACATGTTAATATTGTATCTCTAAATCTTATTCAAATGTTCTAAATAAGAAAACGGATACTATGCAATAGATTGTAATTTATCATAAACAACATTTTTTTGATTGTTACAATAAATTTTGTGATTTTTTATAATCATGTCAGATTATTTTTTATAACTGAAGCTTACTCTATTCATTTTTAATATGTTTTGTAATGTGAACCTATAAACTTGACTGAAGAAATATTATCATAATTATTATTATTCTCTTATGGTTATGGCATGTTACCTATTTCTTGCATAAAGAGACATTTCTCGTATCACACTGCACGGAGTATTATACGAAAAAGTGATAAAAAAACTGTATAAATTTGATTGGCCTATCCAGCATCATGCGACGATATTAAGACATTTCCATTGGCTATTCGTTAGGTCATTGATAACTTTAAAGGTTAAGACGATGTACATTTCGTCCATGGCAACGGATATATGTGTTTTTTGCAATAATATAGAAGACACTCACACTTTTTACCAAGAAATCTTCTTCTTGACAAATTTTTATTACATTCTTAAGCGTACAAAAAGTTCAAAAATGTCTGATGTTAAAGTTTGATGCTGAAAAAAGACATATGACGTCATGCTGGTATGTGTGATTATATCAAGAAATTGCGGAATTTTTAATTTAACACAAAGAGTTCTGACCATAAGAGAAATGTTATTATCATTATTTTTATTATTATTAATATTATTATTATTATTATTATTATTATTATTATTATTTTTATTGCGTATAGATAGTTTAATTCTTTTTTCTGTATCAATACCCCTGGACAAGACGCGCATTTCGATTATAAAGGTCTCTTAAGCGACGCGTGAATTATTTGATAATAGTTTTGAAATTATATAGATACAGTCATTTTACTTTAAAAAAAGAACCAATACAACCACTTTAACGAATTCATTCCTTAAAAATCATAGTTACTTATAAATTACAACGAGTCTTCTTTTATACGGTTTTATAGAATATTATTTTTTTATATAGTAGCGTTTTCAAATTGAACATTTTTTACTTATAGGTTACTTTGATAATCTTTCGACCAATTGACTGGTTAACCGGTTGTAAAGTTGATGTCCAAAGACATTCTCTACAGTACATTACGAATGCATACGATAGTTATAAATAAGATTGAGAATGGAAATGGGGAATGTGTCAAAGAGACAACAACCCGACCAAAGAGCAGAAAACAGCCGAAGGCAACCAATGGGTCTTCAACACAGCGGGAAAATTCCGCACCCGGAGGCGGGCTTCAGCTGGCCCCTAAACAAAAATGAGTAATACCATTGCTGACTTAGTAATTTGGGATTCTCTCAAAATCAAATTTAACTCCTCAATTGAATTCTCGATTTTTAACAGAATTAACAGAGTGACTTTATAGTTGTACAGCATCTTGACAGTGATGAGTTTTAATGTATGAACGTGGATCTGACAATTGATTTGTCAATTTGATAATAAGAAATACGGTGATCAATTTTAATTGAACATTGTTATTCGGGATATTGTTACTCATTTATATCATATCTATTAGATTTGAAAATAGGTCAGATTAACCGGCTAGCATTTTTGAATTCAATATTTAGTCTTTTCAATGCTTTATCGGTTAACCGGATAACCGGTGTTTACACTTTCGGAAGTTGTTTCTTTAGATATTTGTATAATTGATAATATGTGATGTCAAAAGCGATGTAAATTTTGTTGTTTTTGTTATTCCATTCGAAGAGACAATAAGAAGTATTAACAAACCTTATCAATTCGAAAGTTGATCTTTGGTATATAGGGCAAACATCAACTTTTCGGAATCGATCTGGCAGACCTAACCACCCTTCCTTACGGCGTTATCTTCGCGATAGCGAAATACTGTGTTAGGAGTTAAACACAAAGACCTAAACAGGTAGGATAAAACATAAAGGTGATAATTGTCAGAATGGGTCAAAACAATCAGGTCTCTGATAAAACGTGTAATTATTAAGTTGAAAAAATGTGTGAATGATCGACCAAAGTCCGTTTTCAGAGACAAAGAAGCTTTGAAATGTATTATCATCTCTTCACGATAAATATGTTGTTGTTCCTGCGGACAAAGCTTCAAATAATATTGTTTCTGTATGTAAATCGTACTACTATGAGTGTCTTGTAAATGAATTAGGAATAAATTAGCACTCAGGTAATCCAACATACAAAAACATATCATTTGACAAGCAAATCTGAGGACTTACCTTGTTTGTATTGGATAACTTAGCTTCACAATATTCCGTACAAACAAAGGTACATTGCCGGCTCATCTACATGTTGTACAAAGGAATTGTCCATGAGATTGACAACAATTCTGTCCGCAGTGAAAGTGGGTCTTTAGGAATACTGTGAAACTGTTTACTCGCGTAGTGGTATTAACCATATGTGGATTCTAAAAAACTCTAAAGACCGTCTTGATAATTTTAAATCTCGATCTTTCTCTGAAATCAAATCCATCAAAACTTTTAATTTTTCTATCCTGTATACCACCATTCCCCATGTGAAATTGAAAAATCGTCTAAAAGAAATAATCCACAATGCTTTTCAATATAAAAATGGCAGCATACGCTATAAATTTATTGCTTTTGGATACCATACGGCATATTTTGTTAATAGTGAACAAAAAGGTAAAACATGCTACACAGAGGAACAAGTAAGTGATCAGTATGCTGGAGTTTCTCATTGACAACACATTTGTTGAATTTGAATGTAGATTTTTTCAAAAAGTTGTCGGCATTCCTTTGGGAACGAAATGTGCGCCTCTCCTTGCCGACCTCTTCTTATTTTCATATGAGTCGGAGTTCCTTCAGACACTTGTCAAAAACAAGAAAATCAAAGAAGCCCGGTCATTTAATTTCACATTCAGATATATTGATGATGTTCTTTCCATTAACAATTCAAACTTTTCTGATTGGGTTCCATTAATATATCCTCCAGAACTAGAAATTAAAGAAATAACTGACACGGCTTCCTCCGACTCATTTTTAGACATATACCTCGAATTTGACATAAGCGGTCATCTCAATACCAGAATCTATGACAAGCGAGAAGATTTTAATTTTGAAATTATAAATTTTTCCCACCTTAGCAGCAATATACCAACTTCACCTAATTATGGGATATACATTTCCCGACTCATTCGATATTCAAGAGTTTGCAGCTGCTACTAGGACTTTATAAAACTTCACCAGTGTCTGAGCAGAAAATTGATGAGCCAAGGTTATGTCAAAGAACGTCTTGTCCTTTTTCTATAAAAAAGTTCATTGGAGGATACCAAGACCTTGTTGATAAATATTCCGTATCAACTTCACAAATAATACATGATGGTCTTGAAGTATAGTTTCTATGTACTGACGTTGTTTATCATCTTAATTACGTGTTGAGTGAATGAGTGGTTAAGCTAGCTATAAAACCAGGTTTTATCCACCATTGTCTACATAAGGAAATGCCTGTACCAAGTCAGGAATATGACAGTTGTTTTCCATTCGTTAGATGTGTTTGAACTTTTTATTATGCCATTTTATAAGGGGCTTTCCGTTTTGAATTTCCCTTGCAGTTCGGTATTTTTGTTATTTTACTTTTTATTGATACCTGGCGATTATTTATTATATTTGACCAAAATAATTCAACGATTCTTTATTAGAGATACATGGTTTCCTAGAACCGATCTGATGAGTCGATCTTTTTCCAACTGGTATTTACAGATTGTTGCTTTTTTTGTGTTGTTACACAAGAGACTTAATTTTTCTGAGAGGGGGCGGATAAGCGCTCACAAACATAATAAGTATCAACACATTTATGTGCTTTTACCAAGCCAGAAACTTGTTATCAAGTGTTTGTTGTTTGGAGATTGGTTGTTGTCTGCCATATTTGTGTTTTATTTATTGTCGTAGTACAAACTTTTTTTGGAAATTTTCACTTTTTGCTATCCTTTTTTGTTTCTTACTAAATCAGTTTTGCAACCAGAGTTGATGTTTTTTAAATCTCATGAAGTTAATGTAAAAGGTCAAACGCAAATATATTTTAAATTCAAACGTGATGCAAATAAATGGAACTTTCTGAGATATATCTACAACAAATGCTACAAAATAAAATTTTTACCAGCATATATTGCAAAGGATGTCAAAACTAAATGTTTTATTATTTGTATGAAGAGACACAATTTCAAAATGGTGTCTATGTTAGTTTTTTTTATATTTTTACATAGAAAATGTAAATGTGACCTTGACCTCTTCACGTCGAGTAACTTTTACATTGCTTATCATTTTTCAGCACAGCTTAAAACAAAATAATTATCTAATCTGTAGTATACCAGTTTCTCAATATGTTTCATTAATTTTTTTACCTCGGCAAAAAACAAAATTTTGGCGCTAAAACCGTGTCTTTTCATTTTGTATCGAAAAGGATGTGTCTTTTGAAATATTAATAAGCTTTTATAAATGAAAAAACATCGTATACTTGCAAAGTCGACAAACCGTTCCATAACCCAAATAAGTAAACCAAGACGAAGGAGAGTTTTACCTTTTGGTACAGTGCAAACTAATATCAGTGTTATGCCCTAAGCATTCTCTTGATAGGATTATTCTGATAATAATGTGTGGTCTAAATAATTCTTAATGAAGTGATTGATTTGAATGTTGATTGTCTAATGTTGAAATTGGACAATCGGTAAAAACCATCATATTACTTGTCTTTAAAGAGCTACATACATTAGCCCTGTTCGTTATTAAATAGAGGTAGACAGTTAATACGCTTTGAAAAGTTACACTGGTTTATAATATAAAATAAATCTTAGCTAGACATAAATCTTTTTGTACTATTTTGCGCATCTCCTACACGTATTAGCACTTTAAAACGCTTCATTTCCTTGACAAGGACAAAGTGCAGTGCAAGACACATTTCACAACCTTTCAAGCACAAAGAAGCATTCGCGATATGGAGTCACATCCTGATAAAGCATGAACAGCAGGTAAAAAATTGGACATGACAGGGTTTAACATACTGCATATTTCGTATACAGAGAGGAACTTACGACCATCTACAATTCTTATGTGTTTGTCATTTACGGGGAAAATATGCACACACAGAATATGTATCCGGAGACTTCATTACAATACGACCCTTGAAGTTTTCGTTTTGGCTCCATGCTCATTTTAAGCAAACGCTGCATTAATAATCATTCGCGTATCTGTCTCTTCGTATGTGCTGAATAAATCTTGACAGTCTGCAACCCCTGCAGAGGAGATCTTCTTCACACCAATTGGGTTGATCATATTATGTGTACACAATGACACTTACATGTGTATGAAATAGTTGTAAATGTCACTGTCACCGGATTCAAATGACCATGATCTCATTTACACTTTGGTTCATTGGTCGACATTAAATTCACTTTATCAATTCCTTTTACAAGATACCATATGTAATATACCATGGTATAAAAAAACTGTTAGTTTTAAATGTCAATCTTTCAATAGGGTGTGTCTGTTCTTGAATGCATTTGATAGTTCAGTGAGCAGCGGTTTTTTTTTTCTTTTTTTATTTTTACTTATGTCTATTTTCTAGGGACTATAACATGTATAAGACAAGCATATTTTGTCTATAGAATGATTGTATGACTGGATGAGTAAAGCTTCCTTCTAGTTTTGATGATTTGTTAATCATACAATTTTGGTGAGAAAGTGGAAAGATGAAATTTCAAATAAAAAATGGTGTCACTTTTGAGGTAGTGTAACAGATACTGAAGTTGAAAGGTCAAAATTTTGCAATATATAGAATAATTATAGGTTTTCATGTCCGTCTGATAGGGTTCCTCTAACCTTGAATTCATTTGCATGTGTCATTGATAAAAGATACGTTTTAAAGGGATGTGTTATTCCTCAGTATCAGAAAGAGTGAAAAGGTCAACTTCTTTTAGTCTATGGAAAGGTTATAAGTTGCATATGGTTGTCTGTTTTTCCTTGGTGATTTTGTTTTCTTGACCTTGTGTTTATGGATCAATGATAATATTAAGTTTATTGGAAATTTGATCCTAAAAATTAAGAAATTTCAACACAATAACTTTTGTTCTAATTTCTCGTAATACTGTTGGAGTTGCTTATGGTGAATTTCTATCTGAACCAAATGTTTTTCATTATCTTCTGAGTTATCTCCTCTAGACCAGATCGTTGTTTTCTTTCACGATAACAGTGAATGTCTCAGAGTACAGCTTTTAAAGTTCTGTCTTGTTCTTGAAATTTGTTTTCATATATATTTGTTTATTGTACAATACAAATGTGTCTTAAGGTATCACAAATCTTCAAAAATTATACAGTTTTAAAAGAAGAGAATTCTAAAAGTCCTTGATTTCACAAGTACCATGCTGTATCCATGTATAAAATTGAGAATGGAAATGGGGAATGTGTCAAAGAGACAACAACCCGACCGAAGGATAGAAAAACAGCCGAAGGCCACCAATGGGTCTTCAACACAGCGAGAAAATCCCGCACCCGGAGGCGGGCTTCAACTTGCCCCTAAACAAAAATGTTTACTAGTTCAGTGAAAATGGACGTCATACTAAACTCCAAAACATTTAAATGAACTAAAATTAAAAAACATACAAGACTAACAAAGTGTATCCATGTATGTTCAAGCATCATAAGTGTAAGGAATATTGATACATATGAACAAATAGTGGTACCCATCGACACAAAACATGAAAAATTTGGCACTAGTAAGGCTACATCAAGTTTAACTTAGTTTGTTGCCTCAATTTTAAACGAATAAATTCCATAACCGTCCAATGTGAGACAAAAGCACAGTTTTCGACGATTTTTTCATAGAATAAAGTTTCACATCTCGGAAATTTCATATCAGAAATTTACATAAAAACAAACGTTTATTTTAGATATAAAAAAAGTCACTAGAGTTTCATGTAAAAATCTCAAAGTGTTTTTGAGTTATTGTCCGAAAACTGGGAATTCTTCGTTTTTTTATGAATAAAGTCTTAAAACTCCAAAATGTAAAATCAGATTTTTTTTTAAATCTAAAGGGTACTTTTGTCAATTTATATAAACAATTCACCGAAGTTTCATGAAAATTACTAAAAGCATCTTTAAGTTATAGTCAGAAAACTGGAAAATCTCCCATTTTTTATGAATAAAATTCCATAACTAGGAAAAGTAAATTGTAAGATTTATAAAAATCAAAATGAAGCTTTCGTCAATAGATATAAACAATTCACCAAAGTTTCATGAGATTGGTTAAAGAGTGTTTTTGTGTTATTGTCCGAAGTGTTGACGACGGACGGACGGACAGACAGAAAACGGTTTACCATACTACGTCCCGTAAATGGGTATATAAAAACCAGTGGAATGAAGAATTCCTTTTCAATTTATTAACATCCAATCAGAGAGGTGTGGCCATCTTTTTTTTAACATTTTTAATGAAACTTTGGTCTTCAAATTCACAAAGTTAAAAAATATGAGGGTGGAAACCTTCTTGAATTGGATATTAGAATCGAAGAAAAAAGAATTAACTTAGTTATTATTTATGGGCCAAATGTATACACTCCTTGTTTTTATCAAATGGTGGCAGACATTATTGAGCAACGTAATTACCAGTCTTTTATTCTTTGTTGTGATTTTAACCTAATTCAAAGTTTCAATCTTGACACTCATATTTCTGTTAATATCAACAACCTAGAGAAAAATTACTACAGATAATGGAAGAGTATAATCTAGTTGATCCATTTAGGGAACTTTACCCCATATGAAAAGGTTTACCTGGAGGAATTAAACAATCTCGTTTTGACTTTTCTGAATTCCTGATAATATCTTTCACTTTGTTAGTAATGTTAAAATTGATAATAGTTGCAGGTCTGATAATTCTCCAGTGATTATATCATTCCAGATTAATGAATTTACAAAAGGCAGAAGCCTTTGGAAGTTTAATAACTCCCTTTTTCATGATACTGACTATATTTAAGAACAGTAAAAAAACAATATGCCATCAAGATATAAAGAAACGAAACTTATCAAATTGATAACTCTTAAACTGAATTTACCAAAATCAATTACAAGAAAATGCACATACAGAAGAAAATCTGGAAGACCAGAAAAAGGCAGAACTAAAAACGTATAGACTAAGAAGGTACGGGGAAAATATATCAGGTCAAGAAGTCAGTTGATTGAAGACGGAGAACAACGTTTTTATTAAATCAATAGAATAGAAATGATTTTTAATGAGATTGTACAGAAACTTACATCAGAAAATGGGTTTATAGTAGAAGAACAAAAAAAAATCTCAAATCAGACAAAGATGTTTTATGAGAAATTTCATAAAAAAAAACAAGATTGTTTGAAAAAGTGTTGATTTAGCAGGAGATATTTCTTATGCTAATATATCTAAGTTAAGCGAGGATGAAAAGCAGTTATTGGAGGGGAATAATGGTTGCTCCGAATCAACTGCAGCATTTAAGAGGATGAAAATTAACAAGAATCCAACTTGGATGGAGAGTTGTCTCATTGGCACTCATACCACATCTTCCTATGTCTATCTGATGGTTAAACTGCAGATTTTTTTTATTTTATTTTCAACTTATATTGGTAAATTAATAAGTTCTGACCAAACTGGTTATATTCCAAGTAGATATATAGGGGAAAGTGTCGATTAATATATGATATTCTTCATTTTACTGACGAAAATAATATTCCAGGAATTCTGTTGGTGATTGACTTTGAGAGGGCGTTTAATTCCATATCTTGTTCCTTTCGTTATAATACATTACGATATCTTAATTTTGGTGATTCAGTTATATCCTGGGTTCAAACTTTCTATAACAATATAACAGCTACAGTGACACAAAACTGTTTTCTGTCTGAATTCTTCATTGTAGAAAGAGGCTATAGCGCCAATGGTGCTTCTGTAATATATTTTTAATTCCAATTGAATAGGTTATTTTTTAGGAATTATGTTGCAATGTTAGACGCAATTTATTTTGTATTTACCTGTCCAACTTATTTGTTCCACTTAACGTTTTTGGAGATTTGTTAACAAATATGTAAATTACATCTTGTAAGACCTTTGTCTAAAAGGCTGCACACAACGAAAACAGTAATGAATGATACTTATTATTTAGTCATATTCAATCAGGCAGACATAATATTTTAATGAAGCAATCATTTTGGTTAATACTGAACACTAGTTATTAAGGTTTGACACTACGTAGTTCAAGGAATAGTTCAATTAAGAATTGGAAGAACGCTTTGGTAATAAGTCTTCCTATCAATCAATCTGTCATTGTAAGAATTCCCCATCTTTTTTCAAACTAATAAACTTTTAAATATTTTCACCATCAATAATTCTTAATGTAAATATAGAGATAATTCAAAAAGTAGAAAGGCGTAAGCTAACGAAAACCTTGTTGTAATTGAAAGTATATTTCTGTATAACTTTATTTTTTCTTCCCTAGTACTGTTATTATTATAGATTGGTCTTATTAAGCTCATCTTTTAAAGAAATAAAAAAAAAACCAGAGTTTTGTACTGAGTACACTTTTACGGCAATTTATATCGATGTAGTCAGATATTTTATTTACATATGATATCTATATATATGTGTTTCGAAATATCAATAGAAAAGTACTTACACATCACCAAGAGTTGTTTAAACACTTTTAAATTTAACAATTTCTTGATCGCCATTTTGTGGAAGTTTTGGTGAACATGTTGTATGTCTTATTGGAATAGTATTTAAACGTTTTTAAGGTATTTATCAAATGTTGTTTAGCATAAACAAAAGGCTATTATATTGTATGTATGTATGCTATGTATAAGCCTCCTTTCATTAGGAGCACCACCATGACAAATAACAAGATAATAAAGCTTGTACATTTTGAAGGGAAAATGAGAAGTCAGTTTCGATAAAACTTTCTTAAGATTCACGATTTAAAAGGGAAGAGGAGTGACAGAAACATACTCTTGTCCTTTTTGACACCGGTTTGAACATTTTTAAAATAAATATTCAAGTTGACCTTCGAAATAAATCAATATCGACTAAAGAAAAAATACAATCGTTCAATCACTAATTCTTAAACAAAAAAAACAAAAAAACTAGGAAAATAACACACTTCACCAACATGTTGTAAAATAAAGTGAAAATTTACAGGATTTGATATAACATCATAAGTATTGTTATTCATATCTCCTTCAGTGGAAATGAGCGTATTCATAAGTTGATAGGATACTAATTTTTAACGCCTATAAGCAGTTAGCATTATAATTTCTGTATTACAGAAAATAAGAAAAAACTAAAATAAATAAAACAGCATTAAATCTCAGTACTTAGTGTGCTACCATGAGGTAACTATGTGTATAACATGTGTAAAAAGAATCAAATCATCTTGATTAAATTTGAGTTATTATGTCTGTTTTTTTACTTACTTTGGAAATTAAGCCCAATATATTTGGTGGCAGATTCCTGTTTGATGTACATGATCTGACAGCGGTCAACGAACCTTGACACAATTACATGGCTGTCTGAGTAACATTTTTAAACATTTTTTTTAAGTAGATAATCATTGCATTGGTAACAGATCTATAAAATCTTACATCTGACTTTCTTTATTCGACTGACTTACATTGACGTCGAAGTTCACATAATGTTTATAATGTTTTTATTTTAGTAATAGTTTTATATAATGACTTCAAACCACTGTTAGTTACTTTTAATGACATTATAATATACGCCTAAGATATAATTTCTAAGCGAAAGATTTTTCCTAAAGTTTACTAGCAATGTTGTGTACTTTATAAATTTCATCTTGAAATTGGATATCAATGGGTTTTTTTCTTTTGCACGTTTCAGTTTACACAGCCACGTTCATTAACAAAGTATCAATGATCGTTGAACTAAAATTCAAAATTTTGCACCTGAAATTAATTCAATTTTAATAAGATTCCTATAAATCTAATCTTGAGAGTGCTTACACCAATAAGCACAGGTTTAATCGTGCTGCAAAAATCAAAGCTAAGTTCAATAATTATTCCATATATGAATAAACAATGAGAATGATAATGATACTTTATATAGCTGTTAATGATTAAGTAGAAACATACTTTTTTCCGTCCCTTTTTTGTTTGGTGATTCCTTTATATTCTTTTTAATTCAATTCAACTTTGAAAATGTCTAATGATTTTTTTTTTACTGGGTGTAAATAAAACTGACATGTTTGTCTGCCAATTTCCATTTTTATTTAGCATACCTAGACATTTGAATTTAAAAAAATTGTATTACAAAGTCAAGAAGATTTTTTTTTTATTTTTAAGTTTAAGTATTTTCTAGAGCCATTTTGAAAATGTTATGTATTGGAAAGCAAAGAACAATATAAAAATATGATGAAGTAAAAATTTGAAAATAATTGCTAAAGAAGGAGGTTGTGCATTTTAACCTAAAGTTTGAAATTTTACTTAATAGTGCAATTCAGCAGCTGGAAAAAGAAGTCATAGAGTCATGTAAAATGCAAATTTTGTGAAAGTTCTTTTTATATGGGTTTTGCCTTGAATCATGATATATGATCCTAAAGACAATTTTAATATTATATGTACGTGTAGCTCCCTATTCAACTTTACACTGTTTTTTATTTTATATAACTGCTTAGCTAGAAATTTCATCCCAAATAGCAGTTTTTATGAAGAACAATCTTTCAATGCTCCTTAGAACTCAGAGTCACATATTTTGTGCTACCAGGAAAGCATCTTATCTCTGAATGTTGTTCTTAATGTCTTTTATACTTCAGTATGTTCAGATAGTTGTTGCTTAATCTAAGTATTTTCTATTGTAACTTGATACCACATAATTTTCATTTCCCAGAAAGCACTTGATTCATGATGTTTTTTTCATTGTGAGCTACACAGGAAAAAGTGCCACGCATGTTTAACATATATTTTACGTACGTAAAACGTGCGTTTGAAAACTCATGGGAAATGCATATTTCTTACCCCGCATGTAAAACGCATACGTTTCAAAAATATGCGTAAAACATGTTTGTAATCTGCTTCATTTGGACTCTGTTGGATAGTTGTCTAATAAGCATTCATACCATATCTCTTTATGTTATATTGACCACAAATCTCCTTTTGACAGGCAATGTCAGTATCAAATTACCGCCAAACTTTTCATCTGTCTTTAAATGATAGTGTTATTATCCTATTATATAAAAAAAAATCTGTGATATGATTTTCATGTTTCTGGAACCTTTGACACTAAGATGTTTAGAAAGACAATGATATAAAATATTTGATGGAATAAAAACCAACACACACAATATTTGGTCTCTGTAGTTTCGTTGGCAGTAATACCACAACTACTTTATAAAGACGGAAAAGGTCAAAATTGTCTTAAATGAAGTTTGTCGATGTGTTGTATTCGGCAATCCTTTGTAAAATTTTACTCATTGTTGAACTTCCACAAATACATTTATTAACATATGCATGTAATATGAAAAGGAGAACCAGCAAAGTGTATTAAATGTTTCATTTAATTTTAATTCATTTACAATTTTGACTCTGCAAGAGTTGTGTACCTTGCAGGTTTAATAATAGGAAATCTCTTGAGTCATCCTCATATTATCTTTTTAAATGAAATTAAAAAAAATCTGATTAAGACTAGAAAATGATATATATTTTCATAATAATTCAATTAATATTTTTTTTTCCTCAAGAAACATGTCTGCAGCAGAATCTAACTAAATAAAAACTTCCAAAAAATTGAATTCAATATATTTATATTTAAATCATTCTCAAGACCTTACAATAAACTTTATAGATTGTTGTCACATAAAATTAATAACAATTGAATGTTCTATGTTTTAAATGTCCCTCTTCTTGAAGGTATCTTAATCTGAAAAGAAAAGAATTACATTCATAATCATACATTTAAACTTAGTTTGATTTATTTCCATATACTGGAAGTTCTTTTTTGTTTGTTTTTTTTTTTAGAACATTATGAAATAACCTCAGTGACTTTATACATGCTTAGTCTGTCTCCCTTGTGATATAACATCTTTTATTAAAACTGAAAACCAAACTAAATATTTTTGTTATACACATCTGACTGATGAAGTCTTTACACTGAATCCATTGGATATTATATGTGTACTGATTGATATTTTAGTCTTAGACACATGAT